ATCCAAAAACGACTGGAACAGCACATCAACAGAGAACTGCTAGAGGTCCAGGCTGGGTTTCATTAATTAAAATATAAAATTGCTAAGAGTGATAAAAGACTTTTTAATGATGTACTGTGATAAGCACTTCTTGAAAAAGATCCTTTTGCTCAACTTTTGACCTAGTTTAAGGGCTTAATTTCCTCTTAAGTGCCAAAATACATAAAATAGTGAATAGAATATAAGTCATGAGGCTGCTGAGGAGTGTATTGATGGGATGAGAAGATAAAACAGTGGTCTTTAAAGCTGAAATAGCACAAATCTTACATAGAGGTCACAAATACATTGCTTGGCAGGTATAAAGCAACTAAAATAGTGTTTATACATCAGGGTTGTGGGGGGAGCATGACAGTGTTCTAGCGGTAGTGGATATGACTTACAATATAGAGTAGGGCTCAGTGAACTTTTTGTTCAAGTTCAAATAGACTTTGTAGCCATTCCTCTGGTATGGGCCATTGGCAGAATGTTACGTGAATGAGGATGTCTGTGTTCCCATAAAACTTTATTTTAAAAAAAGCAAGGGTCTGACTAGAGTGGGCCCACAGGTATAGAAATATTTAAAAGAGTAGAATCTGGATTTGATGAAGTAAAGTATCACTTTTTCATTTGGAGATGTGCATTTTCTTTCTGAAAAGTTCCTTTGCCTAAGTGTGGCTAATGACACATTTTATCACTTAGGGTTAGGAAGTAAGAAGCATCCATTACATCTTCTTATTCCACATGGAGCATTTCAAATAAGAAATCTGCCTACATTGAAGCACAATGATCTACTGTCCTGGTTTGACGGCTGCAGAGAGGGTAAAATTGAAGGAATCGTATGGCATTGCAGTGATGGATGTTTAATTAAGGTAATGGCAGAAAATAAATGTGGGCCATGCTGTTTTATATTTCTGCAACAAAGTAAAAGTGCGACTGAAATTCTTTCAAGGAATGAAAATTTCAGTAATTCTGATTTATAGGAAAATTTCATTTACTCCTCTTAACTTGCAACTATTTATATATATAGAGTTTCCCAGTGTGCATTCTATGCGGCGGCACTGGCTCTAAATAGGCATCATAATACTAAATGTTGTAGGACCAAAATCTCTGGAAAACCTTTCATACTGTCAGTTTCATGTTTCACGTTAGTGCCGAGATCCTACACCGGTAGCTCCATATAATTCAGTATTTTCCAGACTAACTTGATTTTATTTAAGCCTAACATGTTGAGCAAAAGAATGCCAACGTAATACCTGATATACAATTTTTTTTTCATCTGTGTCCTGTACTTGTATACTTGATTTCTTATACATACCTGATACCCGTAATATTCCAAACCAGACCTAGTCGTATTAGCCCTGACTGCAACACAGAAACTTCTATTTTTATTAATACAGCATATTATTCTTAAAGATTTAGAATTGTTAAATCTGCCTCCTTTGTCCCCAAATTAGCCGGTAATTTATTTTAGGCAGATTCATGTTTGTAAATTTTTTTGTGTGTCACTCTCCCAAAAAGTATGTTTTATGTCTTATCCTTGTCCTGTTCATTCTTCCTAGTTCACTGAGAATGACATGTTCTTACAGAATACTGTTTATAGAAATTAACACTGTTCATGATCTAGCCTCTAACTAACTTTGCAGAACTGTGTACACATTCCTTTCTTTACATTGTCTAAGTTCTAACCATACTTAGGAAATTGCAGTGAAAGTGGAGGAAAAAAACCAGACAACCCCCAAAACCAATTCGTTCTTTCACCTTGGGGTATTCCACATGATTAATGCCTTTAGTTTGAATGCCTCCCTTCAAGATTTTCCTGTACTCAGAAACAGATGATCATTTTTCAAATTTGTTTAAAAAAATTTATGCTGGTTTATTTACAAAGTTTATATACATTATTTTTCATACTGGCTCTTTCACATTTCTTTCATCTCCTCCTCCCTCCACTCATCAAATTGTGTGACCCTGTGATGAACATGTGTGTGGTGGTTCCCCCTCCAATCCTCATACTTGTTCTACAATAAGGGTCTTACATAATATTTGTCCTTATAGGACTGAGTAGTTCATTTAACATAATGCTCCCCAATCGCAAATTAGGCAGTATTTTACAAATTTGCTCCTGTGTGCTGCATAGTATCTCCATCGTGTGAATGCACCATACTTTCTCAGTTGATTGAGGTCATGGTTGGACATTTGGGCTGATTCCATGTCCTTTTTATGGTGAACAGTGCTGCTGTGAACAGTGGTGTACAAGTCTACATTTGTGCCTCAGTTCTCATTCTCTTAGGGAATATTCCAAGCAATGAAATAGCTGAGTCATAAGGAATTTCTATGTTCAAGTTTTTGAGGAAGCGCCAAACTTCCTTCCAGAGCCAGTACCCTTTACAATCCCATCAACAATATAAAGGATTCCTCTGCTTGCTGTCCTGTTAAACTTTGCCACTGCTACTTGAGTCAGATGGTATCTCATTGTGGTTTTGATTTGCATCTCATTATTGCCAGTGATTTTGAGCCTTTCTTCATGTGTCTGTGGCCATTCAAATATCTTCCTCCATGAAAATTCTTTTCAAGTCTTTTGCCCATTTTGTTATCAGTCTTTTTCTTGTGAAGGCCCTGTAGGATTCTGTAAACTTTTTTTTTATTCTGTAAACTTTTGGTATGTGACCCTTGTCTGAAATGCCCACCATCTGAAAACATGCTGGAAATACAAAGCCAATAAAGCAGTATCTCTGCTTTCTTTAAGCTAACATTCGAAAAGGGAAAAGAGTAAACAAGTAAATGTGTATATACTATGTCAAAAGGAGAACTATGAGATGGGGAGAAGGTAAGAAATTAGAGACTTAACATGACTGGCAGATAATCGGGCCTCAAAATAAGTATATGAACATACTGTCTAAAGGCTAACGCTTTAATAACTTTTTTCTCTTTCTAGGTCCATCGTCATCATCTTGGTTTACACTGGCCAATTCCTGATACTTACATGAATTCAAAACCGGCTATTATCAATATGGATCTGAACAAATACAACTATGCCTTTGATTCTAAATGTTTGTTTAATTATTTTTCAAAAATAGATAATCAAAAATTTGGTAGGCTCAAAGACATAATGCTTGATGTATAACTAGAAGAAGCAGTAAAATAAACTTTGTGAACTTTAAATATTCTTAATGTTAACAGATAAAAATATTCTGAATGTTAAAAGATAAGAATATCTCATGGATGCTTATGTTCAGTGTTTGGACATATCACTTTTGAAGTGTCCTGAATACTGTTAACAGAAAAAAAGGAATGAATTTTCTAGTTACAAATATGCTTAGTCAGAGTCAGCAAGTGATTTTCAACTCTAGACTTAAAAAATTACATACTACAAAAAGCTTTCAAGCTTTTTCTAAGGCTGAAAAATATTGACTAGGACTTGGTAATCATTTAAAGACAGGCCAATAATTTTAGATACTTTATTTTCAAAATAAGATACTTTAAACTCAGTTTAATTGTTATAAACATTAACAAAACATGGTTTACCTTCATAGGCTTTCTCCCCCTTCCCCCTTATATACATATAAAGAATCTTAGCATATATAAATAAGAATATAATTATACATAACTCCAGTTTTAAATGTTAAAATATCTTAATACTTTAAAAAAAACTTATAAACGTATTTAGTCATTCACTAGGGATTATTGCCTGATTAGTAATTATAATTTATTCTACGTTTTAGAAAGGTAGACCTTCCTGCTGCATTAAGAATGACAAAACTTTATTTACTATAAATTAAAATTTAGATAAAAGTTACAAGATGTAAAGAGAAAGAAAATTCTAGAGTTTGGAGACTTGCTTGATTTGCAGGTGGAATATTATGTTATAAAGATAAAGTTAACTACATTTATTATAAACATGAGGCTATCAATAAATAGGAAAATGAATAGGACTTTCTTCATCTTCCAACTGTTCAGATGCATCAGTAAGACTGTTTATTTCAACTCCAAACTGTTCTGAAAGTTTTTTTAACTTTTCTTCTAAAAGAATATTTTTCTTTACTTCTTCCTTATAATTATACTTTAGATCTTCAATTTCTTCAAAAAACGAAGGATCAAAATTTTCAAGTTCTTTTTTCAGCCTTTTAGTTTGCTCCTAATAAGATATAAATTAATTTAAAATAAGAATTTTTTAAAAGATGTATAGAATATAATAAATTTTTTAGGTTTAAACTACAGATAATTATAAACTTGAGAACCAAATCAGCTTAAATAAAATCAAAGTTACAAAGACACTAGTATTTCCTTAAGATTTTTTAAATAATATTTCATTGAATTTTTAACTATCAAATCTTTTATAAGTTCTGTCCTATTATTTGACTAATATTTTCAGTTTCTTTTAGATTATGGTAATGTTAATCTTTTTCCAAAATTAGATATTCTTAGTGAGATAATAACACTTGGTTAGTCATAGCATTATAGTTCTTTTCATTAAAATTCTTGGTTTAAACCTTACATATTTTATTTCCAAACACATCATTTTCAGTGAATAATGATCACCTCCTTTCAAATATAGTTAGAACAGTTTCAGAGTACTTCTGTCTTTGTACAAGTTACACATTTTAGTAAAAAGGGTAATTTGAAGTTTAAAGACTTAAAATAGCTAGTAGTTGCTAGCTACTTCTGGTTTCTAATTTTGTATTTATAAAAACTTTTAACATCCAGTTAGAAAGTCCTTTTCAAGAATTTCAAAAGGTCTAAAACAAGATCTGTCCTAAAGAGGGTGAACCAGTTTGGCTCCTGGTTTGTGTAACTTCCATTTTACATGCTTTGTGTATGTTGCCAGGAGGGACCAGTCCTTGGAAAAGGACATCACATTGGAAGTTTAGAGGATCAACACAGGAGAGGAAAAATCTGAAATAGACTGATAAAGTGACTCTGGCAGTTGGTGAGAGTATATCAGAGACAGTGAGGTTGGCTCAAGATAGGACAGGGTTCAGAGCTACTGTTTATAGGGTCGCTATGACCACCTAACAACAATACTAACTACTCCCAGTGTGTTTTATATTGTTTTTATGACAAAAAAAAAAATAAATTTATTCTTCAGTCTCTTCTGTTTATTTTGTCTGCATGTTTTTGTAGGTTTTATTTAACATTTTTATCATGTGAGGTACTGGTACCATTCTAGCCAGTTCTGATTGATAATTCTAAAGGCAGCTATAATATAGCATTTAATTACCTTCAAATGCTGCTTTTCTAGATCAGAACTTCTAAGCTGTGTCTCTAGGTCTCTGACCCTTTCCTTTAGTTGATCAGTATCTGTAAAAGAGTTAAAAATGAGGCTCAACTTGATCACATAATGACTATGTTTAAATAAATCAGTTTCTTTAAAGCATAAGCAAAAACTTAAACCTATAATCTGAAATATTCATCATTTGACAGCTGAAACACTTTTCACGTATGAACGCTATATGTTGGCTCCATCCGGTGTTATCCACAGACACAAAGAGAAGCAGCATCTACTAAGTACTGAAAATATAACCTCAAGTTAATGTATTACATAGAAGCATTCTTATTCTCTAAGAAAAGTCTTAAAATAGGAGAATTTGCTAGCACTATAAGTAAATAAACTGTATTAGTAACCATAAACAAATAACAATCTATATAGAGTTGAGCTGTTAACCCAAAACATGGTGCTTCTCTGGTGGTTGAAATCTTAATGTGGTTCCACGGTACACAGATGAGTAATTAGTGTAAGTTACAGCCTCCAAAAACTTGCTGGAGGGTCAGCTATGATTTGGGTTTAGACTCAATGAGTGTGCTCAAACAAATAAAGCAACCACAAAACCAACAAACCTACTTCTGTAGTCAGTTCCAACTCTGACCCTCCATGGGTTGCTGAGGTAACAAAGCACAGCAGGAGGAGACTACTGAACTTTGCTGCATTAAGCCACTTTCTCTCTGCAGCCTTTGAGTTAAACTCACTATTGACTACGCCACCAGCGCTTCCTATTTAGTATTCAACTTTTCATGGCAAACTCAGGGAGAGTGAGGAATTAAAAGATGAATTAGACATGGTAGTGATACTATGGTAGAAAAAAAATTAAAACTCATTACCATCGAGTTAGAACCAACTCAGCTGACCCTCCAATGGGAGACTGTCCTGTGGGGGAGCAGGTGCATGTGACACCCGTACTCCCCAGGAATAGAGACAGAACTCAATGTCCTTTAGGAGATAGGGTAACATTTCTTTCAAAGCCACTCAGGTGTTTGTAAAAAGAGCTAATAACTTTTCAGTTAGTTGTCTTAATTAGTGTGATACTGTTTCAAACAGGTAATGAAATAATGCAGTATAAATGATTATTATACAGAATTTTCCAATATTTTACCTTAATAACTAGATAGTATTTCAAACTTCAGTTAAGGAACTCTGAATACATAATATACTACTACCTGATAAGTTGAAGTTCAAATCCCCTTCTATAGGACAAAGACGGCTCTCCTCCCATTAAGACCTATAGCCTTGGAAACCCATCGGATGGTTGTTACGAGTAAGAATCTATTGACAGCAGTGAATAAGAGACTTTATAAACAGTTTGGATTTTAAGCCTTAATAACTTTTGACATACATGACAAATAACCTTATCTTCACAAAGTAGATAAAATATCTGAAAGATCAGAAATTCCTTTTAAGGAAACAGGTTTAGAAAGGTTGGCCCAACTACTCAAATAGGAACATCAATAATCTTTAATTTATGTCTAGTACACTTTGGTTCTAAGCCATTAACTCAAGCTCAAATCATAGTAACCCTGTCAACAATAGGTCTGAACCCTGCCCTCTCCTGTGCCATCTGTATCATCCCTAAATCTAAAGCCAAAGCTGAAGTCACAATGTCAGTCCAACTCACTGGAGGTCTTCCTCTCCTTTCCTGACCATATTTCCAAGAACAGCCTAGCCTAGCTCCATGTCCAAAGTAAAAAGGGATGAAGCTTCACCATCTTTGCTTCCAGGGAACATTCTGGCTGAACTTCTTCCAAGATCTGTCGATGCTTCAGTGAGGTATCCTCTCTTCATGCCTGTTTGGTCTGTATGTAGAGCAATAATTAGTGAAGCTGGACTCTATGAAAGGAATGTGGCATCAGGATCAGAGGAAGACTCAACACCAACCTGCAATATGCAGAGATAAAAGCCTGCTTGCTGGATGTGGAAGAGGATAGATGTGAAATGCTTACTACAGAAGAGCAAGGATTAAAGCCTTGCATATGGATTGCATGAGTCCAGCTTCATGATATGCTCAGCATATACATTGAGTAGGTATGGAGAAAAGGTACATCACTGAAGGGGCACCCTTGCTAATTTGAAAATGCAATTTCATTTTCAACAACTTCACTTTGACTACATTCATACTTCACACATTCCAAGTTCCAATTGTTAATGGCTGTTTGCAGCTCTTTAGTATTATACTAGTTGGCTCCTATAAGAAAGATGACAATAAAGATTACATACATACTTTCAGTCCCCTAAAGGCAATGTGATACTGGTTAAAAGTAGTAGTAGTGAGTAGCTTAAGCGTTTTCAGAGATATTTACTTGAATCTTCCTGTGCTTGCTTCCTTAAACTTGTTTCATGTAAATTTCAGACAAAAAGTACTTTAAAAACATTAATATAAGAATTAAATTTCAGAATATAAGAAATTTCAGAATGATTGGGAAACACTTGGCAGAATCTCTGGTACAATAAATAATGCTACAGCCTCAATGCAGAGTAGCAGCATGACTAAATGGTAAGATGAGGAAGTTACAAGAAAAACTTAAAGTTTTCAAACTGTCGCACAAAATTATGAGTGCAATATGAGGTTTACCATAAT